AGCGTTTTTTTGTTCAATTCAAAGTACATTGGAGCAGGGGATGGTGGAAGAGGGAGAGGGGGTAGGGTGGATGAGTGGGAGTGATTGTGGGGATGAGTTGGTGGGGGTGGGGTGTTTACTGTTGCAAGTATGAAGTATTATCAACATGTTTGTGTCTGTAGCTGGGACAGGTGCGTGGTTCCGAAATGGACCAATGGACGTGCGTGTTAAACCACATGGCTCTGACATGGACCAATGAACGTACATGTAAGACAACATGGCTCTGACGTGGACCAATGAACGTACATGTAAGACAACATGGCTCTGACATGGACCAATGAAAGTACATGTAAGACAACAAGGATCTGGGATGAAGCAATGAACGTGCATATTGGACAACAAATCTCTGACACGGACCAATGAACATGCACCTAGGACTGTATTTCAAAACGTGAGAAAAAAGAAAAGGAAAAACTAACTCCCCATCCATATTAAAGAAAATCGATTAGTGAGCAAACACTACTGATCGACGTCACGGATCCTCTCTGCAGCTTCATCCCAAGCTAGCAACATCCTTCCCCGTTCATTACACAGAGGTGTGCCTCGGCACGCTCCTCCTGTTGACAGAACCAGCGTCCGCCTCACGTGGACAGGTGTAGCGCATCTAATATGTAATTTGCTTTAAGTTAAGCATTATAAAACACGTCCAACTAGGGACCTAGTTCCCACACACAATGGGAAAAAGCTTTGAACGTTTGATAGATGGCTTCAAAGACAACATTTCAAAAAATCAATTGCTTGTTAAACACACACGTACACGTAAAGAAAACACTGCCTAGTTTGAGGAACCTTTAAGCGCTGAGTGCGTTTAAGGACACCAAGCATCTCCAACCTTCTTTGCAGGTAGTAACAATATAAGGAAACGTTTTTAGCGATAACTTCAAAAGGTCTCTGTTCATTGTACTACTGGATACATTTAAGGAATTTCAGTATTATACGCCCCCTCAAGGGCAAGGTCATGTAAAGTCATGGCACGCGTTCAGTTTGAGCTGTATTGTCCTCGCCACATCAAACAGAATCACGAAACATCGCGATTATTGATTAACGAAGATACCGGCATGTGCGCGAATACTTGTAATGTAGAAAACGCCGTTTTAATAACACTTTACGCGCATTACCAGAACCAAATGAAAGAAAAAAGCCCGTGCAGATGTAGTATGAAAAGCGCTTTTGACCTAGTTCGAGTTTCACATACTACTGAAAATGACTTCTCGCAGTCACCTACTGATCCCTACCCGACTGTAACCACGTGATCAAAACTTGATGAGTTAGTGAGTGTGTGAGTGAGTATGGCTTTAAGCAGCTTTTAGCAACGTTCCAGCAATATCACTGCAGATGACACAAGAAATGGGCTTCACACATTGTAACCATGTGGGGAAACGAACAGGGGGATTCGGCGTGACGAGCGAACGCTTTAACCACTAGGCTACCCAACGCTCTCGATGGTGATGTTTATCGCATGTAAAATGGATATTTCTTACGAACCTTACTTTGCATTTTTTCATTTCTGTAATAATCCTTATCACAGGAATAGCCCCTGTCAACTTGATACATTTTAGCACATGTGCTGCTATATTCATATATTAATAACCTAAAAATTCTTCGCTTATTTGTTAAGTGACAACACTGAAGGTGATAGGTTTGGTGGTAGACAGATCAGGTATCCATTCTACTAGACGGAGCGTCTCGGACGTCACTCCGATACAAACAGATGCAATTTGCCGAGCCGATTCGTGATGTCCATTAAAGATGATGTTGCTTGAGCATTCCTAAAACGGCGCAAAACATAACTCAGTCACTCATTATCCAGACTGTTGTGATCAATCTGTTGAATAATTGTTGGGGCACCGTTTGGGATTTCTTGGTAGCGGGTTATAAGAGTTAGGTTTAGCACATGCACTATTAGGTTTGTCAAACGTGTGTTTTTATGCCACCTTTAGTAATACGTCATGGCCCACCTGCCCGAAACGATCTTAGCTCTACACTCATTGTAAATTCTGAAGTTCACGATTTAACATCAAGCCGTCTCCTCATCGTACTAAAACCGCCCGGTATAAGCCTTAAGTATGGTGATTATCAACTTTATTTTGAAGTTGACTGTAAAGTTGACTGTAAGCGGCTAAAATCGATTGACAGAACATTTTTTGTCATTTAATGCTTCAAGACGAAATTGAACTTTACCTGAAACGAAAGGTCTAACGATTTTTAAACAAATATTTTTTTCCGGAAATGTAGCATTTTGTCACTAAAAACTGAGAAAAAAATATTTAAAAATCCAACCACCGGTTTGAACTGCCAGACTTCGATTATTTCCAGACCTTCAGGATATGAGAGCGGCGTTTAACAACATTCAGTTACGTAATTTACAAGGAATTAAAGCGCTCGGAGTACGGTTGGTGTTGACGTGGATCTTTCCGGAATAAATAAGGCATGTATTGCGTTAATGCAGCATTAGTGTCATAGCCGGCGCGTTGTGGTCAATCATGACCAATCAGTCAATGAAATCCTATCTCGATTTAACGTCATTTAGATAGACGTTGGAGCGTCTTTTAAGTTCATAAGCGTCGGGCCCTGTTACACGAAGCCATCTCAGCACTAGGACTTCCATAGTTTAGACATGTTTAGCCAGCTATCAACAATTACATACAGGCAATCCTATTTATTGTTTTGACCGTGAAAGAGAGATAATTACATATGGACCGAAAAAAGGTCAGCAATCATAAACATTTCGGGGGCATCATTTTGAAATTGTGTCCTGAGTCTTATCTACAAAATTATCACCCAAAATATGCAAAGTACACATTTTTGGTTCAGTGAGTGAGTAAGTTAGTTTTACACCGCTTTTAGGAATATTCCAGCAATATCACGGCGGGAGACACCAGAAATGGCTTGACACATTATACCCATTGTTCAGTGAAGATTCATCCCAGCTCAAGATTGCTCTACAACACGTTGAGGATTTGACTACTTACTAATCTGTATTTACCTGCATTTTACCCTTGCAAACGAAACTCCCAGGATTGGCTGACCACTGCTGACCATTTGTTTTTTAAACAGTAGGGGCGGCGTAGTAGCCTAGTGGATAAAGCGTTCGCTCGTCATGCTGAAGACCCGGGTTCTATTCCCCACATGGGTAATAATAATATAATAATAATAATAGGCCATTTATATAGCGCCTTTCCACGTCACAGGGATATGCTCAAAGCGCTTCCTGAGCTCAAGTTAAAACTATATACAGTTGGCAGGTACGGATGATTGGATGTCACTTGTAGCAGAGAAATAGATGAGTCTTTAGTCGTGTTTTGAATGTACTTAGGGAAGGAGATGATTTTAACTCGATAGGGAGAGAGAGGGTACCATGTCTGAATCCCATTTCCGGTGTCCACCGCTGTGATGTTGCTGGAATATTGCAAAAAGCGGCGTAAAATTAAACTCACTCACTGTAAAAAGTAACCTGGCATATGGCAACCGTTGGCTAACAGAGTAAATTCAGTTATTATAATGTGCATTTTAACGTTTGTGTTCATTTATTAAGCGTGCGATCATGATGCAGGGTTCGATGCCCCGCATGAGTACGATGTGTGGAAGTCCATTTCTTCTGTTCCCTGGCGTACGTTTGCTGAAATATTGCAGAAGGCTGCGTAAAACTATTTTCACTCATCCTGTACACGTTACGCGTCGGCACTTCTTTTCTGAGGGCCTAACTGACTGACTGAGTTTAGTTTTACGCCGCTTTTAGCAATATTCCAGCAATATCACGACGGGGGACACCAGAAATGGGCTTAACACATTTTACCCATATGGGGAATCGAACCCGGGTCTTCGGCGTGACGAGCCAACGCTTTAACCATCAGGCTACCCCACCGCCCCCTGAAGGTCTAAGGAACGACTAACACATCCGTCTGTTATAGTACAGTAACTATTGTGGATAAAGCTAAGCATGTAAGATAAGGACTATCCTGCCAATGAACACTGAGGCAGCTCTGAATAACGAAGAACACCGTTGGGAACGAGACTATGAGCAACACACCCGAAACACCCATATTGTTGAAGCACCACAAAAACCTTCTAACCCCGTAGCCTACAGATGGACACATACACCCAAATTGAAAGGGAGATATTATAGGCACTATATCACATCACACTTCTCTAAAAATAAATAATACATTTCTCTCAAACAAACACTAAACGCCAAAAGAAACGTTACCCTCCTACCTTTATGAATTACTTAAAACTATCAAAGATATGTTTGAAGGTATTAGTTTGCAAGAAAGCAGCTTTAAAACAACACAGCTTTATGCAAATCACGAAAAGAAATTTTCAAATGTATTCATATTTAGGTGAAATGCATCTTGTTCAGAAGAGTTAAATTGTCCTATTTTCGTCCATGCCAAAATAGACCAATAAGAGTGATTTAGATGTCCAAAAGAAAGGTTGAAAAAAATTCTGCTTGGAGACAAAGATAAACCATTTAAAGTCACCATTTTCCAACTATTAAAACAAGAAACAACTGTTGTAGAGTGTGTAAAATTGTAAAAGAAGCATTCCTTTCATTTCAGTCTTTTAAAACATTTTCTGCTGATTTGCATAAGTGAAAACAATTAAACCGTGTCTTTGATATTGTGAAAAAGTGTTAGGAACATCTACAATTATCTTTGTTAACATTTTCGCTTGCAAAGTAAAATTTTTCCATTTTCTGTTTACACATAGCAATATCAGTCGTCAAAACGTAGCAATATTCAAGCAGTATTGCATCCATTTCACGTGTAGAATGGTTCTATAGGGTATAAAGAGAGACTACAATGCATGATATGATACACAAGTACGAGAAATATGCCACGATTAACAGCTGAAGACAGAAAGAGTCATGGGGATGGTGCAAATGGGGTCGACATACAATGCTGTTGCCAACGCCCTCGGATGCCACCGTATCACGGTTATAAGACTTATTCAGCGCTACAGACAGACTGGGATAACCGTTGGCAGACCAAGAAGTGGACGTCCACGGATCACAACGCCAGGTGAAGATAGGTACCTCTGTCATTAAGGAAAGAGGGTAGCGTTTCTTTTGGCGTTTAGTGTACTATCAGCGCTCAGGGAAGCTACTATATAATTTATTACCCAAACAATTACGTATTTACATTACAACATTAAATTAAAAAGTTCGAATACTCTCGTGCCCTCTACCGGCCAAACATTATTTTAAGCGAACCCCATAGTTATTTCCCTTGGAGCGCACTTTGCGAATATCCTACGTGCAACTTGTGATTGAAACCCACTCTCCTACCCAGAGTTCCATGCGGCAAGCCCGCATAGTACCTCTGCCACAGGCCAGAAAGATGTGACGATTCGTCACATCTTGCACCGTCCATTCAATATAATTTACATATTTCTCAACTCTTTTATTTTTGCCGAATCTACACTTCTAATTAAACATCTTTGATAGAATGGTTTAGTTTCATTGAGAAAATATCCTAAAACATGTAACACTATTTCGATTTGCGTAGCGATCCTTTGTTTACATAGGTTGTTCGGCTCCACGTGCTGTCATCGATGCGGACGGAGAGCAAACGATGCAGCCAGTTTGATATCTAAATATGTACTGTCATAAACGTTGCTGTCGCAGTTGTGGAAGAATATATATGTAAAAATGTAAAATATTGTGAAGATCGCGCCGAAAAGCTTGCGTAAGGCCAGTCTCTTCTTATTATGAATATGTGCGTTTGTTTGAGAAAAGTTCGGTCACGTGAAATGCAAATTAGCCTGAGGCAGTGATGTTATGCAATATCATCACTGCCCCGGAATGTGATTGAACCATTTCGGCAAACACCGACAACACCTCGTGCGACAGTTTTCGATGTACGGAGCAATTATTTACATTCCATATATGGCAAGTGTTCTTTGTTTCAACGCTGTTCGCCTCGAAGTTTCAATTATCGATTTCAGGCAAGTCGTAAGGGATAATAAGTGTTTTATTGTATCAATAGGACGCTAAAGTGAGTGCATATGCCCCAATATATATAATATAGGACAAGATATTTTCGAAAATGTGTGACATTGTGCCTTTAAGATGAGGTTGATTGTGACACTGTTGTAATCAATATAAAAGTTAACAAGCATATTCCTGAGAAAACATTTCTACCATTTCTACTACAACATGCTTACGACCAGCGTTCAATGAAAATGGCCTCTCATTGTGGATTATTGTATGTGTGGATAAAATCCCTCCTATCTGGGATTTTCATGTATATTTTATTCACAAGGATTATGGCAGAGTCAAATATCAGCCTGACCTTCTCCAAGGTCTCTGAAGACTGTCGTCGTTTAAGATACTTGAATCCAGGTCCAGAAACCAAGGCAACGTTCTTATTGAAAGAAGCTTGGTGGGTGAGAAGTTTTACACTGGGCACTAAGCCTGTATAACAAAAGTGTTATTTCCTCTTGTGAAATACAAAGGATCACGTAGTGCACGCGTTAACTGCAAGATGTTTCTTCTCCCTACGCGGAGTCTCGTGCTGGCAACCAACGTAGCACGTCTTTCACGTGCTGGCTGCAATACTACGCAAGGAATACACGACTTGGCTGTGCACTACGCATGGTTTCCACGTGCTGGCGGCCAGCTAAGCAAGTGTTGCACGTGCTTGTTGCTTATTGTGCATGGCTCTCACGTGTTTGCTGCCTATTGTGCATGGCTCTCACGTGCTCACAGCCTACCGCGCACGGGTGGCACGTACTGGAGGCCAACTACGTGCGACTTTCATGTGCCGGCGGTCAACTTTGCACAGAATGACAACCTTGAAGGGTTTCTGGTCGTAATTTCAGGAGTTACGTGTGTACCCCGTGGAGATTCCATGGCACATAACGTCATGAATGTGGCAACACTGACAACTGTGGTTTACTCTTGACATCAGGAAAATAATGTTGGTGCAGAAGGAATCCAAAGTCATACTCTTGGATGTAACCATGGCATATTGACTCATTGTCCTTATGGAGTGAGTGAGTTATACGCCGCACGCAGTAATATTCCAGCTATACGACTTCGGTCTGTAAATAATCCAGTGATCATCAGCATGAGCATCGATCTACGTAAATGGCATACGATGACATGTGTCAACCAAATCAGCGAGTCTGACCACCCGATCCCGTTAGTCGCCTCTTACGACAAACACGGGTTACTGAAGATCAATTCTAACCTGGATCTTCACGGGCCTGTCCTGATGGAAGAACACACCATTTCTCAGTTTTCAGCGTCTTAATTTCATTTCATGTGGGGGCGGCGGGGTAGCCTAGTGGTTAAAGCGTTCGCTCGTCACGCCGAAGACCCGGGTTCAATTCCCCACATGGGTACAATGTGTGAAGCCCATTTCTGGTGTCCCCCGCCGTGATATTGCTGGATTATTGCTAAAAGCGGCGTAAAATCATACTCACTCACTCAAAGCGTGTCACCATGACGAAGAAGAGGAAATGTTGTGAGATCACAGATAGGCTAGTGTCAGTCCAATCCAAATGACATATCCCAAGGCATGATCCGTGTGGAAGAATGATAATGAAAGCAGATAATTATTAAATATTTATTGAACATTATACCGCCAATTTGGATGAAGATGAAATAAACTTTAAACAACATTTATTCAGCTATCTAAGATTTACGACATTCAGAGGGATACGATAGTTTCGAAAATATGCTACATCAGTCAACGATTTCCTTACGATACCTTGCATGGCTCAGTTCGTGTCGAAAATCAAGACCCAGAAGTCCTTCCTAACAGGTCTCCCGGAATAGATTTTGAGATGTCCCCCGCCATGACTGTCTGTTCCGTTTCTGCGGTTTCACCCCGCCGCGACAGATAACAACTTTTGCGTTTTCAATGATGATAGTTTCTTAAACAACTTTTTTGGTGGACTCCGGAAATTTTTTAAATATCAGAAAGCTGTTGGGTATTAGTAAATGATAAACATGTGTACTATTTATATTTATGTGGCAATTTTGTACAATGATATAATTTGCAATTCATCGGTCCGTTTCTGACTCAAACGGACTGTACTAGAAGGCAGTTCACCATGATCATGCATGATGACACCATCGGTATCTCGGAGCATGGACACCACACCCTTCGGGGAATTTTGGTGATGGAAATGTCAGATGATTCCACTGTTTTGATTGGTGCCAAATCATCACATGAACCTTTCTGGATCATCTTCGATTAGAGCTAGATTGTTGCGACATATATACCTATTGCGTTATCAATCAGACACGTTCTTCGTTGCCAATTGTCTGTGATGATGCAGTGGGGGACAGTGTGGGTAGTCCAGTGGTTAAAGCGTCCACTCGTCACGTTAAGACCTGAGTTAATGTGTAAAGCCCATTTCTGGTGTCCCCGCAGTGATATTGCTGGAATATTGCTAAAAGAGGCGTAAAACTCATTCGATAATACAATGGTATTCTGTCTTTGGAAATGCCCTCGGAACTGGCACTATGGCGTTCAATCTTCTGTCTGCCATCTCCATATCATGGGTTCGCTCGATCTCTGATCTTACTGAAGTGACCTGTTTTGTTGTTTGTCCTAAAAACCCTGGATGGGTTGCCTTTTTTGTCACTTGCTCATCAGATTGATTTGTCACAACGAAAATATTGCTCAATTGACTCAATTTTATAAGCATACATGTAATGTCTAAAGATTTGACTATAACACATTTCCTTCTGACGCTCAGAGCACATCAGTCAACCATCGTATTTCTTCTTGTAAGAAGGGATTTTTTTCAGGAAAATGCTATGAAAATGGTCTTTCGATGACTTGAAAACACAAATTGTGCTCTGTTCATGAGTCACAGTTCGCCTGAAGAAACATGTTGAAAAAAATTATAAGAAAATGTACCAAGGTTATAATTTGGATGTTTTTCCTGCGTCAATTGGCGACATGTATTCCTCGTTTAATGTCCGACTAAATATGACGTTTGAGGCGGTTACATGATGACTAGTTAAAACTATAATAACGTGATAAATCTGAAAATTGAAACCGGTAATCTACCGCTGTGCAGTCATTATGTCATGTGCAACTTCTATCTTTTTTCGTTTCAGATATCGCATTTTAATAATCACTTGACAGTTATGTTTTAATATTTTTCATAAACTCAAACATCGGTACAGTCGTCCCTGATCTCAATGAATGATCATAGGCAAGGTTTCGTGAGTAAGTTTAGTTTTACGCCGCACTCAGCAATATTCCAGCTATATGGCGGCGGTCTGTATATTATCGAGTTTGGACCAGACAACCCAGTGATCAACAGCATGAGCACCGATCTAAGCAATTGGGATACGATGACATATGTCAGCGAGCCTGACCACCCGATCCCGTTAGTCGCCTATTATGACAAGCATGGGTTACTGAATCTAACCTGGATCTTCAAGGCACAGGCCCTCGTGTCTTTGGGAGGATTAATTATTTAAAAATATTGTTTTTGAGATGACCCCTGACTCAAAATGCTTCACAGTACAATACATCATGTCATAATGTCTCAATTTTTTTTATATATTGGATAAAATCTTTAATCCTCGCAAAGACAAGAGGGCCTGTGCTTCAAGTGACTTTTCAAAACTACAAGATTCTCACTAATGAAGACTTACAATGGTTGCGTCATTCACGTGTACTTTTGGAATGAATTACTTAACGCCATATACGTAGTCAGGAATGTTCAATCTGTAACTTAGCGACCTGTAATAATTGATTCTGGTCCAGACAAACCAGTGAATATGGCCCGAACAACGACCTAGTACATAGTTTTATGATGATATTTAATGACAGGGTGGTAGAATAACCTAGTGGTTAATGCGTTCGCTCCTCAAGTCGAAGGCCCGGGTTTGATTCCCCATATGTGTACAAAATGTGATTCCCATTTCTGGTGTATCCCGCCGTGATATTGCAGGAATATTGTTAAAAGTGACTCACTCACTCATATTTTATTTGTGAGGTCCTTAACCTGAACACTTAACCAAAGTCAGTACCGGGTACCTCACTCGGGACCCTGGGGATGTTAAGTGCCATCAAATACACAAATTGCATGGTAAATTTTAATTTTAAT